ATATCACATCACAACATGCCCTGCAAAAACAACTTAGACGTCCTCTACTTTGTTGTTACAAGTTTTACGTGGCTGCTACAGGCTGAGCAAGAACCGTTCTTACCTACGCATCAAAACCACAATGATAGTTCGTCAAGTTAGTGATGTTTTAACCTTCTCAAGGATCGGGCGTAGCCACACTCGGTTCAACTAAAGTTGAAGAAACAGACACCCGCCAGCCACCTATGTGCAAAGCACGTTGGTAGAACCAGTCTCGCGTAAGCGTACACGTAATGTCGGTCCGGGCCGCTTCATCCAACAATACCGCCGAACCAAAGTATGACATGCTGGTAAGCAGTATGACTTGTATCGCCCACAACTCACTTGTGTTCTACTCGTGCATATAACATCTACGCATAAAACCAGGTGCCACTGTTGGTGAACGTAGTAATTTCAAAAAAATTCCTATGCACACGCAAGATCATGGTGATGCATAGAAACGAGAGGGGAGAGTGTTGTCCACGTACCCTCGTAGACCGAAAGCGGAAGCGTTAGCACAACACGGTTGATGTAGTCGTACGTCCTCACGATCCAACCGATCAAGTACCGAACGTACGGCACCTCCGAGTTCAGCACACGTTCATCTCGATGACGTCCCTCAAACTTCGATCCAGTAGAGCTTTTCGAGAGAGTTTCGTCAGCACAACGGCGTGATGACGGTGTTGATGATGCTACCGACGCAGGGCTTCGCCTAAGCACCACTACGATATTACCGAGGTGGAATATGGTGGAGGGGGGCACCGCACACGGCTAAGAGATCAATGATCAATTGTTGTGTCTAGAGGTGCCCCCTGTCCCCATATATAAAGGAGCAAGGGGGGGAGGCGGCTGGCCAGGAGGAGGGCGCACCAAGGGGGGAGTCCTACTCCCACCGGGAGTAGGACTCCTCCTTTCCTTGTTGGAGTAGGAGAGGGGAAGGAAGGGAGAGAGAGAGAGGAAGGAAAGGGGGGTGCCGCCCCCGCCCTCCTTGTCCTACTCGGACTAGAGGGGGAGGGGGCACGTGGCCTACCCTAGCCACCCCTCCTCTTCTCCACTAGGGCCCATGAGGCCCAATTAACCCCCAGGGGGTTCCGGTAACCCCCCCGACACTCTGTTATATGTCTGAAACCTTCTGAAACTATTCCGGTGGCCGAACATAGTCATCCAATATATCGATCTTCATGTCTCGACCGTTTTGAGACTCCTCGTCAAGTCCGTGATCATATCCGGAACTCCGAACTACCTTCGGTACATCAAAACACAAAAACTCATAATACCGATCATCACCAAACTTTAAGCGTGCGGACCCTACGGGTTTGAGAACTATGTAGACATGACCGAGACACGTCTCCGGTCAATAACCAAAAGCGGAACCTGGATGCTCACATTGGCTCCCACATATTCTACAAAGATCTTTATCGGTCAAATCGCATAACAACATACGTTGTTCCCTTTGTCATGGTATGTTACTTGCCCGAGATTCGGTCGTCGGTATGTCAATACCTAGTTCAATCTCGTTACCGGCAAGTCTCTTTACTCATTACGTAATGCATCATCCCGCAACTAACTCATTAGCTACATTGCTTGCAAGGCTTATAGTGATGTGCATTACTGAGAGGGCCCAGAGATACCTCTCCGACAATCGGAGTGACAAATCCTAATCTCGAAATAGGTCAACTCAACAAGTACCTTCGGAGACACCTGTAGAGCACCTTTATAATCACCCAGTTACGTTGTGACGTTTGGTAGCACACAAAGTGTTCCTCCGGTAAGCGGGGTTACATAATCTCATAGTCATAGGAACATGTATAAGTCATGAAGAAAGCAATAGCAACATACTAAACGATCAAGTGCTAAGCTAACAGAATGGGTCAAGTCAATCACATCATTCTTCTAATGATGTGATCCCATTGATCAAATGATAACTTATATCTATGGTTAGGAAACTCAACCATCTTTAATCGATGGGCTAGTCAAGTAGAGGCATACTAGTGACACTATGTTTGTCTATGTATTCACACATGTATTATGTTTCCAGTTAATACAATTCTAGCATCAATAATAAACATTTATCATGATATGAGGAAATAAATAATAACTTTATTATTGCCTCTAGGGCATATTTCCTTCACCCCCACCCGTGGAACCCTCGACTGTGCCGGCCACTGCCCCTCCACCCACCCATGCCGTTGCTGCTATCCTCGCAGGCTGCAGCGCCGCGCTGGGCCGATGTCGCGGAGGAGGACGACCTGGCGGTTGGCCGCCCCATCGTGCGCTGGGAGCCCCCGGCTCATGCGGCTGTGACCAGTGCGGAGAGCGGGTTGTTGCCTCGGCGTGGCAACCCGGACACTCTCTCGCGGTCGCGCTTACGTCCCTCGGCGACTTTCCCGCTGACACTGCGCTAAAGGCCCGCCTTAGGGTCTAGGACCGCTTGCCGCCGCAGTGCTTCGGCGTGGGGGTGTCGCGGGGTGGTCCAACCACGGGTGCGCCCGGGTGTCGTAGCGTGCCACCGCCTCCGACCGCACGTCCAATGATCCTTCGCTCTGGTTGCCCATCTCTCCGGCGTGGCCCGCGATTTTCGACCGCCGCTCCCCCTTCCGACCCTTCATCACTGCATTTGGATTCTCGGCGTTCCGGTTCTCCCCTAGTCACGCCCTTCACTGGTCTTGGCTCGCTGTCGCCTCCTCGCCGGTGCCGGACCCTACCGCGGCAGTGGCCGCTGCGTATGGGGAAACCCTTGTAGCCAGCGCCCCATCCTGCTGGCTGGGCCGTGCTGGTGATCGGCCGGCCGCTCGCCCTAGGGTCGTGCCTCTTGCGGGCCATACCGTTCAGTGTGGGCCATCATGTGGGCCGGCCCAACCGCTTGGCTCCACCCCTCACGCGATCTGCCCCCCTACTAGTTTCGCTTGTCCCCCACCCCCGCACCAACCCGCATTGACCACAACCCTAGCCTTCATTCGCCCGGCAGCCGCTCTCCCTCGATCTCTCCCGGCTCCACCGCCTCCCTCCTCCATAACGCGCGAATGGGAATACGATGGGGGCCTTCCCAAGCGTCGTTCCGACGACCGACACGATTCTTCTCGCCCCTCCCCCGACGTGATTCACCGCGAGGATGACCTCCGCCGGCAGCTTTTTGAAGGAAATATGCCCTAGTGGCAATAATAAAGTTGTTATTTTATATTTCCTTATTCATGATAAAGGTTTATTATTCATGCTAGAATTGTATTAATTGGAAAATTAAATATATGTGTTACATAAACAAATATTGTGTCCCTGGTAAGCCTCTACTAGACTAGCTCGTTGATCAAAGATGGTTAACGTTTCCTAACCATGGACATGTGTTGTTATTTGATAACGGGAACACATCATTAGGAGAATGATGTGATGGACAAGACCCATCTGTTAGCTTAGATTAATGATCGTTCAGTTTTATTGATATTGCTTTCTTCATGTCAAATGCGTATTCCTTCGACTATGAGATTATGCAAGTCACGGATACAGGAGGAATACCTTGTGTTGTATCAAACATCACAACATAACTGGGTAATCATAAAGATGCTCTATAGGTATCTCTGAAGGTGTTTGTTTAGTTGATATAGATCGAGATTATGATTTGTCACCCCGAGTATCAGAGAGGTATCTCTGGGCCCTCTCGGTAACACATCATAAGCTTGCAAGCAAACGACTAAGGATTTAGTCACGAGGTGATGTATTACGGAACGAGTAAAGAGACTTATCGGTAACGAGATTGAAGTAGGTATGAAGATACCGAAGATAAAATTTCGGGCAAGTAACATACAGATGGACAAAGGGAATTACGTATGTTGTCATTACGGTTCGACCGATAAAGATCTTCGTAGAATATGTAGGATCCAATATGGGCATCCAGGTTGCGCTATTGGTTATTGACCAGAGAGGTGTCTCGGTCATGTCTACATAGATCTCGAACCTGTAGGATCCGCACGCTTAATGTTTGATGACGATGTAGTGTTATATGAGTTATGTGATTTGGTGACCGAATGTTGTTCGGAGTCTCGGATGAGACAACGGACATGACG